TAATTAAAAAATGGGCACAGGACATGATCAGACACTTCACCAAGGAGATCCAGGCAGCCAACAAACATATGAAGAAATGTTCATGATCACTAGCCATCAGAGAGATGCAAATCAAAACAACAATGAGATATCATCTCATACCAGCAATAACAGCAAATATCAAAAAAGTAGAGGACAGTAATGGCTGGAGAGGATGCGGAGAGACTGGGACCCTCCTGCATTGCTGGTGGGATTGCAAAATAGTCCAGCCACTCTGGAAAGCAATGGGGTGCTTCCTCAGAAGGTTGGAAATAGAGATAACTTATGATCCAGCAATTCTTCTACTTGGTATTCATGCACAAGAAATACGAGTCATAACACGAGTAGATATATGCACACCAATGTTCATAGCAGCACTATTTACAATAGCAAAAAGATGGAGACAGCCTAAATGCCCATCAATTGAAGAATGGATAAACAAACTGTGGTGCATACACACATATACACTATGCTACCTTGAAGAACAACAAGGAAGCTGCAAGCTACCACATAACATGGATGAATCTTGAGGACACTATGCTGAGTGAAATGAGTCAGTCACAAAAAGGAGAAATACTGCATAGGACCTTTATTGTAAAAGACTAAAAAGGGGGGATATATATATATATAATTGCTGATCACTGGGATGTATGGGAGGGGAGTGAGGGAGGGGACGATAGAGCACAGGGTAGGGAATAGACACAGTATAGCTGGGGTGTGTGTGGGGGGGAGCAATACACAAGAAGCAGGAGGGCAGGAGGGGAATGGGAGAACAAGGCTGATGGGAGAACAATTAGGCAGGTTCACATGGGCTAAGTGGGACAGAGGTAAATGATGATGTATGCACAACCTTTGAACAACAGGGCTCCAGGATACAGGGATTGAGGCATGGTTTGAATGGGTTTTGTTGTTGTTGTTAAGTGCCATCAAGTCGGTACCGAATGACAGTGACCTTATGCACAGCAGAACAAAACACTGCCTGATCCTGGGCCAACCTAAATACTGTTGCCATGCTTGAGTCCATACATGTTTGAATGTGTAAAAGAGGGGAATAATGTTAAGATGCTTGGCTGTCTTTTGAACCTCGGTTTCCCTTGCCTACCATTGTGAAATAGACACTTGAGAGGGGGAAAAAGGAATAGCCAGAAACATCACAATAGAAAGCTTGTAAGTCCCTCTTTAGCCTATAACTGATTGGAATACCTTAAAGGGGACTAGAAATTACCCAGTGAAAGAGGCCTCCTGTGGAGCTTTTGCATAGCATAAAACCAGAACCCCATCCAGAATTGTCTCAGGTGGGAAATTTCCACTGGAAAAGAGTAGACAAGCCTGGAGTGGCTAGAAGAACAGAAGATACTTCATGAAGAAAGACCAGCAGGAAAAATCAGAAACAGTAACTGCAGTCTGATAGATTACTATAAGAACAAGTAAGCTGTTCACCTGGGAGTCATCAAGGCAAGTAGTCAGGTCCCCTCAGGGCAAACCCCCTTCTCAGACTGGGACTTAAGGGAATACACGAGCAGGCATGTGGTCTGGCTGGTGACCATGTTGGTCACCAATAAGGGGAAGAGGGGGAAAAAAACAGCAATGAAGTTGGGATCTGAGTCCAACCACATTCAATAGACTCCTGTGAACCCAGTGGAGACCAGGTTGGCCAGCAGTTATGGCAAGACCTGGGGACTCCTGGGCCCAGAGGCAGTGACATGGCCACAGAGGACTAGAGCGGAGAGTGGAGAGCGAAGCGTTCAGCTGATATGAAGTGAGGGGAGATGCATAAGAACACCCATACTTTCAGATAGTACCCACTTGACCTGGCTTCAATGGCTGGATGATCAGAACTCGACTAGAAGAAGAAAGAAGAAGGAAGAAAAAAAAAAAGAAAAGAGTAACCCACTACAATTTGGTGAACTTTACCTATACGTATGGATGTAGTAGCTCAGAAAAGCGAACAAATCTTTACAGCAAGGATCACTCCTACCCCCTCAGTACACAGGGTTGACAGGGATGGGCAACTTGGACATTGGCTACCCAAAGTGGTAGGGGCTATGAAGTTCACAAGAAGTAACTGGCTTACAAGCTTTTAAGAGGGAAGCTTAGTTTCAAATGTGGCAGGGGTAGGAACCTCCACTGAATGATTTCCAATCTGTTGAGACCAGGCTGGAGAATGGAAATGTGGATAAGACTCTTGTGGTACAACAGTGAATAATTGCCATCAGGACTGACTGTGAGGGTAGGAAATGCAGAGGTAGATGTTTTTTGACAAAACAAGGAGAGTGATTAATTTTGCAGCCCAGCAGCGGATGTCCCTGTGACCATCAAGTGAGAAGAGCGGAGAGCATCATGACCCTACCCAGAGAGGCAGCGACGCCAGGGATGGAGACAGAGATGATGATGTGGACAGATGGAGTAGCTGGGGACATGGGACTCAGGAAGGGAGAGAGAGGGGCTGTGTGCTGAAGGCCAGAGGGCAGGCCTGTGGGGTGTACCTTTTGGTTATCTGATGATGCATGGAGGTGATTGTAATCATTGCAATGAAACGAAATACGATAGGATGAATTTAAAACTGATGTTCTCCCATGTAAACCCACATAATTCACAACAAAAACTTTAAAAAAAATAGCTCCCTTAAGAAACTTATTTTGTTTGAATGTGATTAACCAATCACAACAAACAAGATAACCAGATGTGTTCAGAGCATTTCGTTGCAGTTAGGTGCCATTGATTCCCACTGACTCTATATGTAACAGACTGAAACCCTGCCTGGTCCTGAGCTCTCCTCACAATTGGCGCTAGGTTTGAGTCACTGTTGGAGCCACTATATTAATCCATCTCACTGAGGGTCTTTCTCATTTTAGCTGACCCTCTATCAAACAAAATGTTCTTTGGTGCTCTATTGAAACTGACTTCAGGTTTTTGTCTGGCTCAGAGAATATCTTAGGGTTCCACTTCTCTGGTTCAAACCTACCAACTCTAAACTGGCTTCACCATTTTCCAGCTGGTTTCTTCCTCCCCGCCCTGGCCCCTAGTAAATGATCATTTAGTTTGTCAATAGACATGTCTTGGAGCTGTGTCTTTCCAAACATGAAGCGGTTTCAAAAAGTTCACAAAAAAATTCCATTATCTTTTTTTTTTTTCTTTCATAAGTGGTATTTTATTGTTTAAAGGTCAGTACAGATACATTATGAACAATTTGTACACAATTCTTAATGTATGTACCAAAAATCTAAGAGCCACGTAGTTATAATTATTTTCTAAATTCCAGTGACTTTCCAGCTTTAAATTTGGAGGCAAATTTTCCTTTGTACTAAAACTTTCAAGTACCAATATTTTCAATTTCTGATAGTCGTAAGTCCTACTAATTCACAATTTAACATCACACACACTACACACTCAAATTTTCAAGCTTTCATAGCACGTAACAATGTTATGAGGAAAACAGGACTACCACGACCAAAGATGTCACAGAACGCACATAGTCTGACAGGCAGTCAGGATGAGTGGAACAATTCTACTGAAAAACAGCATGGAAACAGAATTTAAAATGTTCAAGTCACACAAATGCATGACCATGATTCCCAATTGCCATTTAATATGCTTTGTACTATGGGATATAAAACTCCCCCCACCCCCAATGGAATGTTAAGGTGACACCCAAGATAGTCAAAACCTCCCACCAGTCAACATCCCACTATTTTCTGGTTGTACCAAAAAATAAACCACCAGGAAATGATTTCACCTCTTAAAAAAACATTTACATTTAAAAAAATGGGATGAAGTGGGATTTCCTCCATCTTAAAAATGTTTCTAGAGCTACTAAAAAACTTGCATTTATAAAATAGTTGATAAAAATATT